GTTTGGTGTTTTTGTTGGATTCAATCAGTTTAGAGAGACCATTGTTTTTGGAGCAACAATTTTATTTGATGAAACATGCGCTTCTTTCACATGGTTATTTAAGGCCTTTCTAGCTGCACACAATGGAAAGGAACCCAGAACTATATTTACTGACCAAGACGCTGCAATGGAAAATGCAATTCGGGAGGTATTTGTAGATGCATGGCATGGGTTGTGTACTTTTCATATAATGCAGAATGTTGTCAAACACTTGAGCAACAATAAAAATAATGAAAATGAAGAATCTCATATCCTCTTAGATTTCAGTGCTTGCATGTATAATATTGAGGACAAGGAGGCCTTTGAAGAAGCATTTGACAGCATGAGAAATAAGGTGGATAAGAATAAGTCATCATGGCTGGATAGCATCTACAAGTTTAAAGAGAAATGGGCTGAATGTTACATGAGGGATGTTTTTACATTGGGAATGAGAAGCACACAATTAAGTGATAGTTTCAATAGTGACTTGAAACAGCATTTGAAATCAGATTTTGATATCATTAGGTTCTTAAAGCACTTTGAAAGCGCAGTGCAAGGAAAAAGAAACAAGGAACTAGATGAAGAATTTGAAGCTAGGAAAAAGCTACCAAGAATAAGAATGAAGACACCTATGTTAGTGCAAGCAAGTAAACTTTACACCCTCCAAATATTTGAAGCATTCCAAGCTGAGTATGAAAGATCCATGGCTGCATGTACTAGACCATTGCATGAAAATAACACATATGCCATTTCTATTGTGAGATCTGATGGTGATTTAAGTTCTGAACAAGAGCGCATAGTTGTAGGTGATCCTTTGGAGCAAAAAGTTTCATGTAGCTGTAACCAATTTGAAAGGACAGGTGTATTGTGTAGCCATGGATTGAAAGTTCTTGACTTGATAAATATCAAACTATTGCCTGACCATTATGTGCTGAAGCGTTGGACAAGGGGAGCAAGGTATGAAACTGTACAAGATAATAAAGGAAGGAGCATCATCGAAGATCCAAAATTAGATGCAATGCTTCGATATAAGTATATGTCTCACAAGTTTCTGAATCTGGCATATCAAGCAGCAAGCTCTCCAGAGTGTTGCCTATTGGTAGATGATGCACTTGATTGTCTTGGTAAGCAACTACAGGACAAAATTAGTGCACCTACATGCATTTTGTCTAATTCATATAATGTCCAACTCTAACCTGATGTTTAACAAGATGAAGATTTCCTTGGAGCTGCATGCCTAAGGAAAAAAGAGGTTCAACCAAAAAGTTCAAAGCGAAAACCAAGTTGGCTAGACAAGACACGAAAGTACAAGAAAAAGGTGCCAAATAAATCCAACGTATGTTGCTGAAACCCTTTCCAAAATAATGTTTCTATTCACTAGTACTTGCTAAATTTCAAGTTTGGATGATTTATGCAGCATGGAGAAAATAGTGCAGCTGTAGAAACACAAGTATCAATGGATGATGCTAGCAATGTGTTCACTGGCTACACCAATTTGTTGATGGTAGTTTCAATATTTGTCTTTTTCAACTTGTAGAATTAGTTTAAATATTAATTTTTTTCAACTTTTCCTTTGTGTTTCCAGGGACTTAGTAACATCGATGATTTCCTCCAGGACCCTAATCGTTGCTGCAGGGGAAGGATATTTTGTTCTTTTGGGGTGAACGTGGTTAACACTTGCTGCAATTATTTGGCTAAACTGTGCAAATTGATGTACTGTAAAAGTGGCTGGGGTTATTTTGGAGCATGAGCACTATGCAAAATATTTAAGTGAAATGGTTGTTAAATTTGCACTAAAAATAGTGTCCGTATATGTTTATGTATTGAATTAGCCGCTATTCTCGTTTTATCTGTCTCTCCCGTCAAGCTGGGCTTATTTCTCCAAATTTGGGCTTTGTTTGGGCCATAATCTTCTTGTGGGCTGACTGCTATATGTGGAAAGTAGTTCAGAGGAGCAGCAGCCGTTGGATGTAAATTGAGTGGCATCTAGAACGGCCAAAGTCACCGGTGACTTTTCTTAACCAAGTTAGAGAATCTGCGCCCTGACGGGGCAGGGTCGTTCTGACGGTGACGGCAGCGGGGCAGGTCGTGGAGGCAGTGGCGCGTCCAGTGGCGTCGAGGCGGCGGCCGTCCCGCGGTTCGACGGCGGCGCAGCGCGGCAGGTCGTGGAGTCGGTGGCGCGTTCCGCGGTTCGTCGGCGTCATCGGCGGCGGCGCGTTCCGCGTGCGTTATCGGCAGCGTGTGGCGTTCGTGGGAGGGCGGGGAGGCCTCGTGGTGTCCGGCGGCCTCAGGTTTGTATTAGTCAACTTGAGCTCACACAGTCACGCTACTCACAAAGTCCACAACGGAGAATGGACTGGTTCATACTTCAGAGAAAGGATAGATAATAAGCCAATTATAAACAATATGACAGCTTATAGGGGGTAAGAAAATGGTTTCCAGATAGCATATCTCACATTCAAAAGACCACAGCTCAAACACATAAACAGGTAATTCTTATTTCTGACAAGATATATACATGTTGTCTTCCAAATCAAGCCTATAAGCAGATGCTTCTGTTTGGATAAATGTAGTCCGCATGAACAACAAGAAACATACATGATTAAAAAAATACAATTAGAAAGAAAAAATAATAGAACAAAGAAGAGGGAGTATACTTGTGGTGTTGAAAGAATTTCAGCATCTTGCTTGCAGAGTTTCGAATGGAGAAGCACAAAATATATTTTTTCCAGAAGCACGCTTCACTCATATCGGTAGAGCAAAGCTCAGTCCTGAGGTATGACAGGCTTGGCACCCGGCGCTCTATAGCAACTACATGTCCATACCGTGCATACAGTTCAAAATCTAAAAATATAGAAGCATATCAAATGTAGGTGTAAGAAACTGACGAAATCAATCTGGTATGGTAAGGAACATTGGACATGCATCATACATGAAGGACTGCCATGCAAAATTGTGTCAACTCATTCAACTTACAGATGTTGAACTTATAATTGTCAACTCCAAAAACAACTCTGACCCGGTTGCAAGTTTGAGCAAAAGTACAGTAAACATTGACAGTGTCACAACCAGTTGCAAACAACACTTGCCCAGCAAAACCTTTGTAAATATAAGCAAAATATACTCAATTCCAACATAAACAATGATGACTTGAGTTCAGATGCTAAATTAAGATGAATAGATGTAGTTACACTTTAGAAACCGTAATTTCAGTAGTAAGAGAACACTGTATTGTAGACAAACAAGCTTAAGCAACTAAGGTTAACCCTCAGATTCTCCCCTTATCCACTACTACTGCAACAAAATGAGCACACAATTGCACCAAAACAATCGGTTCAACCATCTATGAATCAAAGCAACAAAATAAACAGTCCAAGCACTCTGATCTGATGCCACTGGCTCTTACCATCCGTGTGTCGCTCATCAACAAACAAGGGGAAATCAAGCTATCTTCGGATGCTTTGAGATGTTACCGACAAACACCACTACCTCCTCGGTCACACCAACTGCCTCACCCTCTTCCTCCCCGATCCCTAGGCCCGAATGGCAGGAACGACGATGCGATCCTAGAGATCTCCGCCACCGCGCCATCATTCAACAACATCAAGATGCCAATCTTCACCCTGCCCCCAATCTCTGCCAGGTCACTCTGGACCCGTCGATCCGTGGGGACTGAGGCACCTCCTCCTCCTCCTCCTATCAACTGGCGGTGGCGCGAGGAAGGAGGCAACGCCCCAGAACCGGCGGGTGAGGGACTCGGTCAGCTCCGAGATATCGCCCTTAACGCCGCAGACTGACGACCCAAAGTTGATTGGAGCGGGATCGCGGGAGGGGATGGAGCGTGATTGGAGGGATGGATCGCGACTAGGCGGGCGCCGGGGAAGCGAGCGATGCGGGGGGCGAGCGCTCGCGTGGGATCGCACACGGCAAACCGACGACCCGAAGGCAATTGTCGCATCAAAAAATGTCCACTCTTTTGTCTTTTTAGTTGTGAGAGATAAGCGGCATATAGTTATAAACATGCACACACAAAAAAAAAGTTTGAAGTGTTTCCTTGACAAACCAACTACCCATAGCTAGGTACTTTGAAAACAAATCTATTTATGCCATTTTTTGTCCTAAAATTGTATATAATTTTAATTGTGTTCAGAGTTGACTTTTTATTGTACAAAATACGCTTATCATTTTGACATGGAGGAACCATCATTACTTAACAACGTAATTCATACTCTACTATTAGTCAGTTTGGCATATATCCAGATAACCTCCTTCTAAACTAACATTTTGATTCTGTTTAGTCCTTTCAACTATTTTAGTTAGTCTAATTTGACTCTAAAAAGGAGTTTTTTTTATTGTTTTTGCATGCTCAAGTTGTTTTTTTATTTGAGTGAGATAGCTGAAATTATATAAAATATAATGAAGAAGATTCGTAATGTATTTTTAAATGATTTATGATGCCCATTGTAGCCCTAAAAAATCTGAAATTATGACTCACCTTGTATGTGGAGAAACAAAAAAAAAAGCAAATCCTGTTAAGAGCAAAATCATACCAATTGACATAGTTGGAGGGAGGAAACCAAATCAAATGTTAGATTGCGGGATCATGTGGGCATAGGCCAAACGGGAAAGCAATTTGTTTTTTCATCCAATGGAAAAACGGCACAAATCTCTAGCAGCTTCTAAAAAACAGAGGATATGATTTTTAGTGTGCATTCACAGATCAACAAAGTTTTATTATTATATTTTAACCGATAACTGACATAAAAAGTCTATTGTATTTTATGATGTCCATTATAGCCTTATTACAAACAGGCCACATGCTTAAAATAATGCCAAACAAAAAAGATGCAGAAAACATGTAGGCATGCAGGGGAGTGCAACTTGTCAAAAGAAAACGGGTCGCTCTCGCGCCAAATTATGTCACACTCACAAACCGCCTGAGTTGTCAGGGATCGCCGCGCCACCGTGTGCCTCTGCCATCTTCAGTCGTAGGCTGTGCTGAAGAAGATCTTGACGGCGTTGTCGGAGAGGACCTGGAGGACGCCGGAGTTGGACCGGGCGACGCACCTCGGGAACTTGAACTGGTTCGCCGAAGCTCCGAGGGCGAGGTAGTGGTGCAGCACCTTCTGGAAGGCGCCCCGCCGTAGTACCCGCAGCTCCAGGGGCCCGATGGCGCGCGTCTTTCTCGAGCTCACGTACCCAGCGTCGACGAAGCGCCGGTCCAGCTCGTCGCAGCAGCGCTGCAACACGTCGTCGTCGGCCTCGCCGCTGAGCTCCCAGAAGACGACGTAGTGGCCCGGGTCGGACGACACGTCCGCGTGGCTGGTGTAGTCCACCACCTCCAACGACGTGTTCCGGGCAGCCAGGATCTCGGCCGCGCCATCGACGGCGAGCTTCACGTCCAGCTCGGTGTTCTTGTCGACGTTGATGCACAGCGTGGGACCGATATCCCCTCGGCTCACGAACTTGAGCTTCGGCGTCGAGTTGTAGAAGCCGGCCACCTTCACCACGTCGCCGAGACGGTACCGGTACAAGCCTGCGTGCCATTTCAACTTACCTGCATACGATGCATTACATGGTATGCAACGAACATGCATGAACTGATGAATGTACCTGCGAAGGTGGTCATGACGACCTCGTAGTGCTCGCCGACGGTGACCTCCGTCAGGCCGACGGGATCCGCCTCGGTGTTGTAGCTCGTGCCGGTATCGGTACAGGCCGCTCCGCCGCCGTCGTTGGTCTTGAGAGGGATGAACTCGAAGTAGGCGATGTCTGGGACCACGGCGAACGTTGCTGATTCCGGGGGCACCTCCGGCTCGACGTTGGCACCGACCATACCCTCCGACGCGCCGTAATCCATGGCGACCAGCGGAAGGCCACCGGCGTAGTGCCGGATCTTCCTGACGTAGTGCTCCATGGACCCCGTCACGATCGTGTGCACGTACCTGGCGTTGGGCCACAGCGCCGGGACCACCCCGCGCCAGTCGCAGAGCCCGGCCTCGGCGCACCTGAGCGCCACCTCGTCGGCGAGCGCGGGGTTCGGCGGCGCGAGGAGCGCGGACACGGCCCGGCGGAGCGCCGGCTCGGTGACCCGCGCTGGAGACAGGGCGCCGTGGCGGATGTCGTGGCACAGCTCCTCCCACACCCGCTCCAGCGTCTGGAACGCGAGCACGAGGTTGTGCCCGAACATGGCGAACACGGCCCGGACCTCGCCGGCGAAGAGCAGGCCGCAGAGGAGGTGGCAGTAGAGCGACTGCGCGAAGTCCGCGGCGGCGAAGACCACCTCGTCGGGGCTACAGCACGGCAGCTGGATGTCGCGCACCGCGGCCTTGTACCCCTCGTTGCGGTACAGGTGGGTGGTGGCCGTGGCCGCCGTCAGGCCACCCTTGGTGGTGAACTGCCGGCTGCCGTAGACGAACTGCAGCGCCTTGCCGCCGCCCTCGACGGGGAACGCCCTGGCCGGACGACGTTGCGATCAGATGAAATGATGTGCAGTAGCTAGCTAGCTACTAGCAACAGGCGACCGCATATCGTCGAGCGAACGAACTACTGCTCTACTGGATTAGACCAGAGCCTAAAGAAGAAAGACAGAGAGATCGTGCATGATGGACCGGAAAGGATGCCGCCGGTCGGTCGTTGGAGCGTCAATCAGAAAGACGACGATAGGCCGGACGTGCGCCGGCGTACGTGCCGCGTGCGTGAGTCATGCTTACGTGTCATACGTACCTGTTCCTGTAAGCGAAGGAGGTCCAGTACACATGCATGGTCAGCTTGAATAGCTCGTCGTTGAAGGGCAGGTACTTGCGCTTCCCCTGCGTCGTGCCGGAGCTACGATGGACATGGATTGGCAAAGGCCAAGCTTAGCAGCAGCAACACACAGTACTGAAACCGATGACGAATTAAGACGAACCTGAGGGAGATGGAGGTGATGGGCTTGGCGGTGAGGACGGGGGAGGTGTCGCCGTCGGCGACGCGGGCGATGTAGGGCTCGAGGTCGTCGTGCGTGGCGAGCGGCACGCAGGCCCGGAAGGTGTCCGGGTCGGTGCGGCCGGCGAGGCCATGCCGCTGGAGGTACTCAACGGCGGCGTTCTCGTCGAGGATCCGCCGCAGCGTCTCCCGCTGGACGGTGGCGGCGTTCCGCGTCAGCCGGTCGAACTCGGCGATCACCTCCTCCTCGTTGCTGAACTCGCTGGCCTTCTTCCCCGACATCTTGCCGCTTCAAAGTTCAAAGAGACGTTGTTTTAGCGTACACCACTTCTTTTGGGTAGAAAAGCCGGAGCCCCTGACCTGGATTTATAGAAGGACGACGGAGCAGAAGTTCATCATCAAGATCCGGCAGGTTCCAGTACATTTGACAGGTCCAACCCTAGCTAGCGACGAGCGTAGCGTTGTTTGTGCCGTCCACATGGAGGATAAAACAAGAGGACTAGACCAACTCAGGTCATAAACATGCTCATGCCGGCAGTTGAAGTCTTGTGCTCCATCCTTAGGTCAAGAAAAGAAATGACCAGGTCTTATGCTCCGTTCTTGCGTCAGATATTCCTTCTATATCATCCGATGATATTGAGAAATATTACACACCATTAGAAAAAATTGTTGTGGACAAATATGTTATAATAAAATACCTTTTCTATTATCAATAAATTACGCGTGTGGGCTTCGCATGGCCTAGCATTCAGAGATTATACTGGTTTCGATCGTTGCTCGATGTTTACAATAAGGGTTACAAAACCATGGAAAACGAGACTATAAAATCGAGAGAGGGTTTTAGGAAGACTGGTATCTCTAGTCTTGGGAGGAAAAAGAGTCCTTTGCTGCCCATTAGATTGCTGAGAGCGCAGGGGTTACACAGTGAATGAAAAGTGTGAGAGTTTTCCATGCAGCGCTGGGCTTTAGGAGTTGGGGACTAACGTGTGTGTTGGTACTACTGCATGGCACGCTTCTTCGTGGGAGGCTTTACACCTATGTCGTGTAGGATAGCAGGTGTATGGAAGTCTCCCTCAGTCAGTGTTACGGATGTGAGGAGAGTGTTTTTGTATGGACTGACCATGCTTGAGTAGGTGGAATAGTGTACTGCAACGTCGCTACAATATTCAGTGGGTAGAACAGTGTCACTACAACAATGCCAAGGGACAAGCTACAACTGCCCATCCCTTCACAGTGCATTCTACCACGACACGTCACGTCGCTTGTCTTGCCGCATAAGGTTTTGGCTCGCAAGCCCACTGTCATAGGAGGCAGCAGGCACACTCATGTGCGTCGAGTCCCGCCAAGTGGTTGGGTTATATACAGAACCGATTTACAGCCTCTACGTTTCGAGTGAAATGATCGGTTAATTATAAGCAAGAAGTACTTCTGCTGGTGTGAGAGAAAAATACTATTTCAGCTTATAGTCCACGAGTATAAGCCGAAACGAACAGGCTGTTAAATTTTTATAAGTTTAAACTTTTTTATAAGCTAAACTTTTTGTCCTTAATATTCTAAAACATATGTATATACTTAATAATTTGAGGGAGCCAAATAATAGCTTTTCATAAGCTAGGTGTTGCATAATTCAAAATAAGCTATATATTTTACTTAGCTTGTTTTAACAGCCAATATTTATTTTAGTCAATTCAATGGGCTCTAGTTAATGCAGCTAGCGCAATCATCGTGGCCTGGAATTCTTCCATCATGTCTTTACACATCAACTCATATAATAATTCGTATATGTAGATGTCATAGTAGTACCATATCGGCACTATCGCACAGATTTTCGTGTGCATGCACGGCGGCTACACGTACACGACACGGGGACTGAGATTCAGTGACTTGCCTCTGTAAAGTCACGCGGTAACTTTCTCCTCATCCCTGCCCTCCAAATCAGATCCGAAGGCTGCCTTTCATCTCAAGCCATGGGGCCATATGTCAGAGACTGCCCTGGTGTGCAACCTGCTGCCTCGGCACTACAGCGCTGCATCTCGCCTCGCCGCGTCGCCACTCCGGTGCCGTGCCTCGCCGCCCCGGCCACCTGGACCTCCGATGCAGAGCCTCGTCGCCCTCCTGTGCCACCCAGCACTCCGGAGCCGCACCTGCCTTGCCACGCCGCCCCGGGTCCGAACTGCACAACTGTGATGTGAAGTCAGACAGATTCCATGGTTCGCTGCTACAAATAGCACATCTCTGCTTGCACATCAGGCCATCAGCTGACACTGCAGTCTTATTTTGCTTTCTTCATCTACCTTTATTAGCTACTCAGCTGCGTCCCTAAGCTAGTACTTCCGATCAATGGCTTCCGCTAATGGCGCCGTGTTCAGGCTTGCCTGCATCGCCCTGGTCCTGTTATTCATGGGTCCGCCGGCTGCGATGGCCGACGTGCAGGGCGACTGCCGCAAGAGCTGTCGTCCGGAGTGCGATGGCTTCCCTGCTAACGTTTGCAAGAACATCACGAGTATTTTCCCCGTGCTGAATTTCGCGTATACGACGTGCAAAGTTTGGCTCTCTGCAGAGTGTACGCACATCTGCCGGATCGGAGTGCATGCCGTTCGTGTCGATGCGCCATTGGATTCGCATTGAGAAGTGTGCGAATCCAACGGCGCAGTGCGTAGGGACACATGTCCGTAAGGCACATTCAACTTTCCCCAATGGAAGCACCAAGCAGCAATGCTAATGCTCATATAAGAGTCATGTGCCCGCCTGTCATGCTGGCTACGAAGCCAACGGAGTTTTGCTAGCTAATTACTCGCTGAAGCAAACAACCCAGGTTCTTCGCGCCGTCCTGCACCCATAGCGTTGCTGCTTGATGTCTGATCGATGCGAGCAGTTCCGTCAGTTGAGTGGCATCTCCGTGGAAGCACTTTGCGTTCCTCAGTTACATCTATACTATAAATAAAAGTATTTTTCTTTTATGAGTAAATTTAGTGTTATACGTACTGTTATGTATGGGCTTTGCACGACTTAGTATTCAGACAGCCTGTTCGCTTGTTGGTTTCAACCAGCCTAAACCAGCCAACCAACAGTGTTTTTCTCTCACAAAAAACCAGCACCAGCCAGCCCAAACCAGCACCAGTACCAACCAGCGAACAGGCCCAGAGACTTAGAATTTATACTGATTCTTTTTTGAGCCTAGATTTATATTTGTTCAGACAACATGTCTTACATCCGGTTCGTATATTGTTTGATCGTGCTCGTAAACATGAGGGGTCCATGCTAATAATTTATTTTAGTCAGTTCAAATGGGCTCTAGTCAATGGAGTGCAATCATCGTTTCCTAGAATTTTTCATCCTTTCATGTTTTTACACATCCTCAAAACTCGTGTAATAATAGTAGTAGTACCATATCACGCAGGCTCTCGTCGTGTGCATGCGGCGGCCACACGTACACGACACGGACTCGAACATGGAAATTGCATGCCTGCCTTCACTTGTTGTCGGCGAGGGTGGCGACGATGGTCTCGAGCAGCTTGATCCGTGCGTCCTTGTCCCTGAGCTCCTCGCCCAGCTCTCGCAGCTTCTTCTCGGCCTGCGTCCCACTCGTCCTCACCACGTCGAGACGGCGGAGCTCTGCCGCCGCCTCCCGCGCGCACCGCTCCGCGTGCCTCGTGGCCATCTTGGCCGCCTCGGTCGCGTCCGCCGCCGCGTTGAGCTCCCACCGCAGCGCGTTCGCGCGATCCCTCAGTTGCCGGATCTGGATGGTCGTCGTCGTCTCGCGCTCCGATGTCGCCGTCGGGTCCCGCGCCAGCACCGGCTGCGGCCCGCCGGCCGGGGCACTCGGCGACGTCAGGTCTGGTGCCGGCGTGGTCGTCGACGTCCAACTCGATGTGGAGGACATCGCGCGTGATCGAGTCGGATCAGAGCTGCTGCTTCTCGTGTTTGCTGCCGTACCAGTTTGGTTTATGGAAACATACGTGGGCCAAAAGCCCAAAACTCGCATGTAGAAAACCAAGGCCCGTAATAAACACTGAAAGTGTCACCCTAGACCAGAGAACTGCTCTGGTACTCCTCCTCTTAAAAGTTGCACACATCTCAAAGCAGCCTATTAGATGATTAAACACTTTCTGTATCTGGATCACGTTTAGGCCCAGCCCATCCAACCCAGTCCTGAGTCCATACCCCATCCTCCTCCTCCAATCCCGTTTCGTCGTGTGCTGGCAGCAGAAGGCGCCGTTCCATTTGGCGTGAGGAGGTCCGATGCCTCCATCCACGTCGTCCTTGACCGGGCTGCTGTCCTCTCTCAGGCTTCCAAAAATACATTTGCATTTTTGGTCTCCGCTTAAACATTATTTTAAGTATAACCCTAAATCGAATCTCTAATAGTGTCAGCTTACACTTCTTCAGTTCGGTACAGAACTACAAATGTTGAAGGATTGTGTATATTTGACAGTTTGTATGCCTCTTTCAGGCAATTGCACTGCATTAAGAATTTTTTTATGCCTGACGAACGAACATGAACATGTGCTGGCAATTCTGGTTTGGCCATCATCTGCGTGGGGCCAAAATCTCGTTCACTTCCTGAACATGCAAATAAGTTGCCTCTTAGGATCTGTACATGAGTTGCGAGGATCACAGATGGAGGAATTGGAGGAGTTTGATGTTAAACAATGGAGGAGGCATGGAGGCATCGTCCTCACTCACCGTCGGTAAGAATGGAACTTCCGTCGAGTCCGCTCATCGTAGTCGTCTCCTTCAACGAATCCACGTGAAAACGGAGAAGCTTGGAACAGACGGGATGGGGACCTTAATTACTTTAGCTTTGGGTCAGGGCTGGACTCAGGACTGGGTTGAACGGGCTGGCCAAGCGTTACCCAAACAAAACATATTAAGAAAATATTTAATTAGTTTAATAGATTACTTTGAGATGCGTATAATTTTTAGAAAGAGGAGTACGGAGCAGATGTCCTAAGACAATTGCTTTTTTGTTTTTCTGTATCTCCTTTAATTTACCACAGGGGTAACGTAACTGTAGCACCAAAGAATTTAGATAAAATTGGCTACGAAACATTGAAAGTGATCTCTCTTTGCTGCTGAACATCTAAAATGGAGCAGTTCGTTGATAGATATTTTGCTTCTTGTTAAATTTACTGATAAACACCCAACCAAATAAAATATTCTTTTGTAACTTTCGAGGAGAGGGAAGAGCGATGAAATATCAGTTATGCCCATACCTATTTCTTCTTCCTCCGACCGCGCGGGGATGGTCTCCAGGTGGCAGGGCACGGCGGAGTCAAGCT